AGGGGGGGTTGGAAGGGGCATAGGGGTTAGAGCAACATATGGAATTGGAAGGGCAAAGAGGAAGCGAATATAAAAAGGGACAAAAGAAAGGGGAATTAAAGGAGCAAAGGGAAAAGGAGCTAAAAAGGACAAAGGAAAGGGAATTAAAGACAAAGAAAGGAGAGACAAAAGAAAGAGAAATAAAGGCACAAAGAAAAGGGAATTAAAGGCACAAAGAAAAGGGAATTAAAGGGACAAAGAAAAGGGAATTAAAGGGACAGAAGCAAAAAAGAATTAAATGGACAAAAAAGAAAAGAAAGCAAATAAAGGCACAAAGAAAAGGGAATTAAAGAGACAAAAAGAACAGAGAATTAAAAGGGACAAAGCAAAAAGAATTAAATGGAGCAAAAAGAAAAGAGAAATAAAGGCAGCAAAAGAGAAGAGAATAAAAAGGTTTCAAAGGGGCAGGAAACCCCAAAAGGGCCAAGGGAAGGTGAACAGAAGGAGCCGAGAAAGGAGTCCCAAAAGGAGCGACGGAACACAGAGCGGGGAAGGGGCATGCCCGGCAGGGGGGCTTTAGAGGGCAAGCCGCGAGAGATGGAAGGGGCAAATCTGGCACCGGTTGAAAGGAGGGCAGCAGGGGCCGGGCCAAGGGTGGGGAGGGGACTATGGGCGGGTAGGTTAGGGTGGAGGGGACGGGGGCGGGGACGGGACGGGGCGCGGTATAGGGAGGGGGCGTGGAGGGGATCGGATATAACAAGTTCATATTGGGGGACGCGGTTTTCAGAGGCAAAAAGACGAGGAGAGAGACGAGAGAGAGGAGAGAGAGAGAGAGAGAGAGAGAGCAGAGAGAAGAGAGAGAAGAGAGAAGAGAGAGAGAGAGAGAGAGAGAGAGAGAAGAGAGAGAGAGCGAGAAGAGAGAGCGAGAGAGAGAGGCGAGAGGGAGGGAAAAGAAGGAAAGAAAAGGGCGAAAAGAAGAAGAGAGAGAAAAGAGAGTGAATAATGAGTGAGAGTAAGCAGATGCAGATACAGATAAAGGAAGATATCGATACCATCTACAGAACCAAAGAGAAAGAAGTAGAGAGAGAAATAAAAATATAAAAATAAAAAAGAACGCCGATACCCCGAAGCCTCGGTTGTCCAGGTCACCGCCACGCGATTAGAGGCCGCTGACGACGAGTGGACAAGGAACGATGGTTATAACTCCGCGCATTCCCACCCCTTCCCCTCCTTCGGGTATGGCGGAGGTGGTTATGATAACACCCACCTTTTCCCACGGTCCGTGTTGTAAGTGTTTCGTTCCCTCCCCCCTCCCCCCCCCTGCCCCCGCCCCCGCGCTTCCCTGGGAGTGTGGGAAATGAAACCAAGCACGCCAGTTTGGAGGTTGTTGGGTTCGGAAGCAATTTGGGGTTAATTGGTGGGTTGGGAGTGGGAAGTTGTTGGAGGGTGTTGTGTTTGGTGGGTGTTGTGGGGTTGTTTTGTTGTTGTGGGTTGTTGTTGGTGGTTTGTTGTTGTGGGACGTGGGTTGTTGTTGTTTTTTAGATTGTGGGATGGGTTGTTTTGGTTTTTTGTTGTGTGGGTTGTTGTTGTTGTGGTTGTGGAAAGTGGTTTGGTTGTTGTTGTTGTTGGCTGTTGTTGTTTGTTGTTTTGTGTGGGTTGTTTTTTTTTTTCTTCTCGCTTTTGAAGGAGGTTGGTTTGGTGTTGACTTTTTGGGAAGGGAAAAGCAAGTGTTTTGAATGATCTTGTCAAAAATAAAATGGATGATATTAACGATGACGATGAAATAATGATGATAATAGTAAGTAGTAGTAATGATATTAATAATGATGCAGATGCTAATAACATAATGATGATGATAATTGATAATAATAATAAATAATAATAATAATCATAATAAGTAATTGATATAGATGATGAATGATGTTGATGGTTAATGGATTGACAATAATGATAATGTAATAGTTGTATGTAATGATGGTATAAGGATAATGATAGTAACATGATAAATATATATAATAATATAATAATAATAATAATGATAATGATATTTAATGATAATGATTATGATAATGATAAATGATAATGATAATGAAATGATAGAATGATGATGATGATGATGATGAATGATGATGATGATGATGTGATGATAGATGATGATGAATGATGAATAACAATAGTGATAATAATAAATGATGATGGTTAACCAGGATAATAACGAGAATAATAATAATAATGAATAATAAAACTTAGGCGAATACAGTCTAAATGAACACAGTAGCTGATATAGATACATTTATTTTCGCAAGAGTATGGCTTCCTCTGATCCTTTCTCGATGGCGCCAATCCCGGATCTGGTCCGAAGAAGAGGAGGGCGTGTTGGGGGTCGCCAGTGGTGGCGCTGGGAGGCCGAATATTCAGGGTCGCGTAAGTGGGTTTTTTTTTCAGGGTCGGAGGGGGTCGGAGGGGGGTCCGGGCCAGAGCAGCAAAGGGGGGGGATGCTTGGCAACTTTTCTTCGTTGTCCTTTTTTGTTGTTCTCTCACTCTTTTTCCTTTTTGTCTGTCTTTTGGTTTCTTTCCCGTTTTTATTTTTAATTTATTTATTTATTTCTCCGCCTCTCTTTCTTCTTCTTTTTCTTCTCTTTTCTCTGCATTCTGTGTCTGTGTCTCCTGTCTCTCTCTCTTCTCTTCTCTCTCTCTCTTCTCTCTCATAGTCGCTCACTCCTTCGTCTCATCCCATTCATCCTCGTGCTCTCCTCTCTCTCTTCATCTCATCGAACGTCCGTCTCTCTCTCCTCTCTTCTCTCA